GGTTCCACAGATGTCTACAAACTTTGAGTTACTGTATGGGAGGCAGCCCTGGGGTGTGCTAGACCTCCTAGAGTCCTCGCAGGCCCAGGGGACAGCACCACAAAACGTAATTAAGTATGTATTGAAACTGTGGGAAAGGTAAGGGGGCCTTTACAAAGAAAAATACTGAAGCAGCCCAACAAGAGCAAGAACAGCAATATAATAAGAACACTTGGCTCTGTGTCTGTCAGCCAGGGGATTGAGTCCTCCTATTACTCCCCTATTCTAAAAGTAAGTTATTGGTGAAGTGGCAAGGACCTTTTGAGGTACTGTGATGAGTAGGTCAAGTAAATTATGAGGTTCGCCTGGTGGGCAAATGGTGAGTTTCACAGATAACATGTTAACCTGCTAAAACCCTGGAAGGCCCGAGATGCCTGTCTGGTCTCTTACGTCTTCTGAAAGTTGGCCTGGAGCTTCCAGATTCCCCCCCAGATAGAGGAAACTGAATCAGACTCAACGAGCTGAAATAAAGAGCCTCCTGAAGAATTCAAAAAGGTGTCTGGGCTGAGATACATTAATCGAACACTGAATTATCCTTAAGCCAGGCTTTAAAATTCAAAAGGGACACTTGAGAATCCTAGACTGACTGAGGGAAGCAGTGAGATGAGAAGTTAAGATGTTGGAGTTAGAAGTAATAAAGGAACGTGCCAGTGAGTAGAGTAGCCCAGTTGTGTTCATGTCAAAACCCAACCACACCATCTGGTTTTGGATTGACTTTCGCAAAAATCAGTGAAGTTTTAAAATGTAACGTACCATATGTCCAGAATAGATAAAGCAGTGGAGGGAATAGGTAATGCAAAGTACATAACCATCCTGGACTTGACTAAGGGATACTGGCAATTTCCTTTGGATCCAGCATCTTGGGAAATTACAGCTGTTACAACACCATGAGGGCTCTACCACTTCAAAATGCTACTTTTTGTTTTACAACAACAACCTTGGCAACCTTCTAATTTTTAATGGACAAAATACTGCACCCTCATTGGGTATATGCAGCTGCCTATCTGGATGATGTGGTAACAACGCATGGGTGTACCAACTCCAGTGGGTGAAAGAAGTGTTACAGGTGATACGAGCAGTGGGTCTGACAGCTAACTTGGCTAAGTGTAACTTGAGGTATACCAAGACTAAGTATCTGGGATATTTATTGGGCAATAGTAAAATCAGCCTGCTAGTTGATAAAGTATAGGTCTGGGTGGAAGCACTGATGCCAACAACCAAGAAGCAGGTAAAATAATTTCTGGGATTGGCCAGCTATTCATCTCATGATTGGCAGTCATCACAGCAGCACTGACGGAACAGAGCACTGCAAAGAATTTAGTGGTTGCCCAAATGTGAGACAGCATTTGAGGCAGTAAAACAGCTACTATTCAGTGCACCAGTCCTAAGCAGCCCAGACCTAACAAAAGAGTTTATATTACAGAACAGGGCCTCAGAGAGAGGGCTGGGTATGGTTTCCCCCACCAAGAGTCTGAGGATGGAGAATACCCCATTCTGTATCTCAGTAGGAAACTCCTTCCCCAAGAGCAGAAGTATGCTATCAAGAAAAGAAGTGCCTGCAATTAAGTGGCCTGATGCTACTTCAGTTTCATTTAGTAACTGACCATGCCCCTTTAATATGGCTTAACACCATGTGGGAGGCCAACCCCCAGTAGATAAGGTGGTATCTGTCTCAGCCTTTGATTTCAGCAGCCTTTTGATTTCTTGATATATCACTGCCCTGGTTCAGCACATGCAAATGTAGACTTCTTCTGAGAGTGTGGGAGGGGTGGAGGATTGAGGAAAGGGAAGAGTACATCTCAGACTCCACTTCCACGCTGGGAAGGGGAGATGCGTAACCTGGTACATGGCTCAGGGGTGGGAGCCCAGCTGCAGGGGGTTAATAAGTAATAGCCTGCCTGCTCAAGGGCATGGGTATTGGCAACACGTAGAGGGTGTATGCAGGAGCATGTGCACCCCCTGAGATCAGCCGTGTACCCCTGGAAGCTCCAGCTGCAATACAGGAAGTGCCCCCAGAAGTTTCGCCACTGACTTGGTGATCGGTGCTGGGCTCCCCCGCTCCGGTCGGTGATCTGGTGCCCCCCCAGACTCGGGAGGCACCAGTCACCCGTGGGCATGGGACCAGCTGACAAGGATGATTGCCTGGTCAGAGGAAGTTAAAAGCTCCCAGGAAAGGAAGCTGGGGAAGAAGGGAAGGCCGCAGTGCCAAGGAGGCAGCACAGAGCTGGGATAGCCCTCTCCAGGTCTGAGGAAGGACTGCAGGTTTGAGTTAAACAAGCAATAAAAGGTTATGTGTTTGTTTTGTTATGGATGTTGGTTTTCTTGTGGGGACAAGTTTGCCTCAGGGAAAATAAAAAGCTGAGTGACAACCTGTTACATGGATTGATAATGTAGATTCTCTCTCTCTCAGATTTTTTAAAGGTATTTTCTCTTCTTTGTTAAATATTGTATTCTACATTTTTATTTTTTGTATTGTGACTAATAATACTTTAATGAAAAGCTCATTTGTAAACCAGAGACGTGAGTTTTAAAGAGATTATAGAATTATTAAGTCGCTCTGAAGGAGGGAAATATTTGTATGTAGATGATGTTTAACAAATAAAAGATGACCCACAGCTATAGAAAATAAAGGGACCCAGGAAATAGAAGGATATGTGGTCAGATGTAGCTTAAGCAAACTCATGGAAGAAACTATAACCTGAGTGGAGTTACAATTGGACTATGAGGAGGCGTGGGAAGCCAGTAACAGCAATAGAAGGTGGGGTGGGAGGCTTTTGCCTCTTATTCTTGTTCTATCTGAAGTTAAGAAAATAAGGATTTAAGGTTAGAAGCAGGGAAATGATTAATGTTTGCAAAACTCCCAGAATGGTGGCAGGCAGACTAAATGTAGCATATGTGGAAGTGGAGAAACTCTGGGGTCCAGAATGTCTTAAAGATTAATGGACTTCAGAACAAAACTAAAGCTAATGCTACATGTGGTGGTAATAATTTCTTGTTTCTCTTGGACAGCTTTTAGATAGCTGGTGGGATTAAACATTTTCTTGCTTGTTTATTTCTAGATTTTGCCCCCTCCCTGCTGGATATTTTATATTCTGTCAGGTTATTCTCTGTATCCCCTCTTATAGTCTTGGCTGCATCTAACAATATCTACCAGGTAGTATGTGTCTGCAGAACTCTGCATTTTTATTAAGGGTTATCAAGGCCTCTGTTTAAGTAGGCCATTGAAAATCCTGAATCCCTGTATCAGTTCCTAAACACTGTTATTAGGCTGTCACCATATAAGGTAAGAGATACCTGAAAGGGTTCCTTGGATTAAGTATAAGGAATACTGGGAATGCCAGAATATTGTGGTAACATTATCTGCTTGCTAATTCTCTTTCCTCAGAATTTTACCTTTACATCAGATGCATAATATATGCAGTTTGCTTACCTCCCACAGCCTTTACCTCATGACACATGTGTGTACATGCACATACTCACACTAGGGGAAAAAGCGAGGAAAAGAATTAAAGGTATAGTTAGTTTGCGATCTCAGAAATTCAAACTAAAGAGATAAAACTATACATATATGTGGTGCCACTGAAATGCAGCTTCCTTTGGAGTTAAGGACAGCAAGCTATGGGCCCAAGGCATTCCACAGACATTGCTGGAGGATGAAAATTTTGATCAAAGATGCCAGTGCAATTCTCTACTCCTATGAAAAGAGTGGAAAGGTGTCATTATTTTGACACTTAAATTCACTTTTAGCTTATATTAAGTTCTCCAAAGTGTGCTTCCTGAAGTCCCTAAATCTTATGGGGAAAGTATCAAGCACTTTCAGCAAATCGGTTTACTTTTTTGTTTGATATCTTTCCCATTTATTTTCTCCTTTCCCATTTCCCTACTTACTACTTAGGCTCTGACATTCCAGGTGATTATCGATAGCTAACAGCCAGAGTTTTGATGCTAAACTCCTTTGAGACTTAAGACAGTCCCCAAATCTTTCCTTACAGCTACTTAAAATTTCTGTATCAAAGAATGTGTAACTACTGCACTTCCCACCTTGCCACTCAGGTGTATAGTGGATTAGTTTCTTTTACTGCTATATACTAATTGTATTATCAAAACCTGATGTTCCTATGACTTGTTAGAAACCTTACCATTTCTTGTAGGAGTGCCAAAGAGGAAAAAATACAAATCTTGGCCAACAAATGTGTTACTGGTCTATAGATGAGATGTTTCCATTCTAGGCATCGTGAATAGCTGTTTGTGGGTTAGGATCAACCTGCCATTCTCATATTGTTAAACAGCAGCTCCCAGCTGGCTTCTGGCTAAGTGGAAGGGTGTTAAAGACTGCTGATTTTTGGATAACAAAATGTTAACATATATTCAAGGTTTTCTGCCTGCATTATGTATGTAAAGGAAAACTTGAACACACCAACAATTTCCACTTTGGACAAAGAATTGTGTAATCATACAGCAGTGTGCTGAATGACTTAATTTAAAGGGATTTTATCCAATTTAGAGCTAATGAGCTCACTAGATAGCATCTGTATGGAATTAAGGGACAATAACAAAAAATCACATCAGAAATTAAGTCAGCGATGTTAAGAAGTTAACGGTATCTGTTTTTCATGCCTTAATATAAGATATCTTCCCCTTTCATATATTTTTGTGATAAATTCTCCCATTCCGCAGTTCCTCTCAAACTGTCCAGAACGTTCTGTGAGCCTATTTTAGAAATAATCAGAAAATGTTTGGCATTTAGGTTTAGTTTCTCCTCGCTTCTAAATTGTTTGTGTTTCCTGAATGTGGTAAAACAGGGTGAAATAAGAACAATCCCTGCTAGTGGTGCTGTAAATTAACGAGCAGAGAACAAGAATTAGGAGGGAGGTCAGCAGAAGAAGCGTTTGCTTCTATATGTTTGAACTGCCTGTACCATACCATTAAAGATATTCCCCTCCCCCTTTGGATGCTTTCAGGAAAGGATACAGATAATCACTTTTCTGGAGGCAAGATGTCTGAGGAAGTCTACACCTGCCTACCCTGCAGGGAAGGATGTTCTTACTGCACAGATGATGCTCCCTGCTATGCACAGGAGGACAAGTATTTACGGCTTGCTATCATCTCATTCCAAACATTCTGTATGCTTCTGGACTTCATAAGCATGCTGGTAGTATACCATTTTCGCAAGGCAAAGGTAAACACAGAGATGTTTTCTTTAATCTTTCTTCCTACTGTCTTACAGACACACTTGTGCTTAAATAAGGTGCCTCCAGGTTGAATGATCAACTTCTCAACCAAGCAGTGCTTTTTCTATTTGGATTTTTCCCCCCCACACAGGCCAATATATTCTGCCATGGTTGCTTTACTGTAGGCAATCAAATCCATATTTAAGTACTTGAATAAGTGATCTTATTTTTAAAAGTGCAGAGAATGTACCAGGTCTCACAGAAGTCAGCTGATCCAGTACTCAGTGGGTGTGAGTAATAGCTGTTAGGTACTCAGCACTTCTGAAAATCAAGCCACTTATCTAAACACTTTAATATGGATTTAAGTATGAATTTAGGCAGTAGAGTTTGAAGATACTACTATCTTAATCTGTTTCAGCATGTTGGGAAGAATGTTTGGTTTAAATATTTTTGGGACATAATTGCTTGAAAAAGCAATGTTTCCAAATCTGTAGGAAGTTTTAATTTGGTTCCTTGTGTAATGGATTTTGAGTTGAATTTTTCCTGTACCCTAATTTAGTTCTCAAAGACTTGTGTGCATACAGTATGTTACTTTGTTTAAATAGTTTCAACTACTTTCCATAAATAGAAAAGCATTTCTATTATGGCTTTTGTTTTATTTTACTGGGTTTCTTTTTTACACTGATGATCACAGAGTCTACTTCATCTGACAGTTTTGGTGTTAGAAATACATATTACCATCTTCAAGACCCTAATACCCTGTTTGGAAATGCAACATCAGTTGTAAAATGTTTTTTTCTTTCTTCAGTCTCTGACTGTTCTTGCTTTTACTAAAATTGTACAAGTAGATTCAGATTACAGCCTTTATTGAATTTACAAAGTGTCTTATTATGAGAAGTCTGTTCTGGCTATCTGTTTCCCCTTTTACTGTAATGTTATAGGGGCTTGTTTTTTTTAATGGTTGTGTTAAATAGACAATATCACTAACAGAAGCATTCCTCATGGATTAAGCTCTGTCATGAAGCCTGCAAATGAGTGAACAAAGGTGGATTGTATCCCATCCAACTAAATTTTTTTTTGTTCATTTCTAAAATGCATAATAAGTTTGAGTTTAATAAACAGCATGATGACAAATAAGATTGGGGAATTGTAACCCTTTCATATAAATGGTACAGATCAGATGAGAATGAACTACACGTATGTTGCTGTTTTTATAATATAGCATTACATGTGTGTAGTGATCCCTGGGTTCAATAAATAGGTATACGTGAATAAGAAGAACTAAACAAACTTTACTTGTGGGGCAGTTGGTAACCTCTGCAGATCATTTACCTTTCTGTAACTCACTAGCCTAATTGAGGGATCATCTCCCAATTCCCAACTTCTGTAGCCTTCTAAGTAAAGGAGTGTCCCAAAAGTATAACTTCAGTCACTACAGTATGTCTAGACTTTTTTTTGGCTGCGGAGGGGAGGGGGCAGGACCTGGTTTCATTCATCCTGGTACCAGTGAAATTGCATTTATAGTAGTGCAGAAATTGGAGGTTTTTCAAAAGTTAAGAGCTGAACAGGATCGGAATATTTCATATGAAAGAAAAAAAAGCAGCATCTGTTGTCCTCCCCACTTTTTAAATTCCTTTCCATTTGTCCTAATATCTCATAAACCAGCAGAAAAGGTCACAAGCCCAGTTTTGTTTTGTATTTTTTTTCCAGTGTGCTACCTTTTTACAAATTAGGCAAGTCAGAATGCCATAGAAGTCAGATATGAAACAAGACTTTTTTTTCCCCCAATACGAGACCTTTTGTCTTTTGAATGTTCTATTTTTGTCACATTGGGTGTAAATAGATTTCATTAAAAATTTTTTTAGATTAGAAGATGGGGTTTTTTTGCTCTAAATAAATTTCTTAAAATGAACATTATCCAAAAAAATAGCAATGAATTGGTTAACAGGCATTTCCGTTAGATTAATGTTGTCAATGAGGAGAAATGAAAAATGGTATCCCATTGCTTCTCATGTCACTCAGTTGAATTTTCTCTTGGATTCTTTTATATGTCCTTTTATCTTGTTGGTACAGCATGATTTTTAAAAAAGAAGAAAGATCTTGTGTGATTAATGTGAAATGAGAAGCTCTATGAAAGGCAAACATACTGCGAACAATGATAATTTGCATAAGAAAACTGCTGGAGATATTGGATAATAACAGAAAATTGGAATGAAAAGAATAAAATTGGTAGTGAGCCATATGCTCTCTGCCAAGGGGGGGAAAAGTCATGGAAATGAAAGAAAAGCTACTGGAACATGGAATATCTAGATTCTGAGAATGTAAAGGGGTTTCTCAAACCATAAGTAAAACAAAAATATATTAATGTTGAGGGTGGGGTATAAAACTCATCATATCCACTGAGGTGGGTGAGTATTGGAGGGAAAGCTTTTTCTGATTCTCAAAGATCCTGGAGGCCCTCTGGGTTAAACTCTGTGGGGAACTCGGCACAGGGGACACAATGGTAGGAGTCTATTACAGACCTCCCACCCAAAATCAGGAGCTTGACCAGGAGTTCACCAGGGAATTGGCTGAGGCCGCATGCTCCCGGTCCACGGTTGTCATGCGAGACTTCAACTACCCAGACATCTCGTGGGAACAGTGCTCAGCTAAATCCAAGCGGTCACGAAGCTTCTTCTCATGTGTGGATGACCTCTATCGGATACAAGAAGTCTATGGGCCAACGAGATGTAAAGCACTGCTCAACCTAGTACTGCCAACCAGGGACGACTTAATCGGCAACCTAACAATCGATGGGAAGCTGGGTGACAGCGACCAATAGCTGATTACCTTCATCTGCCATAAAGCTGGCAAGACAGTCAGCAATACAGGAGTCCTCGACTTCAGGAAAGCTGACTTTGACAAGCTCAGGAGACTTGTCAGTGAGGCCCTAAGGGACCATGACCCCAGGAGGAGGGGAATTCAGGAAGAGTGGCTACTCCTCAAGGAATACACAAGCTAATGCTATTCCGTCTCAGATGAGAGGCAGCAAAAGGGCACAGCAGCCCCCTTGGCTCTCCAGGGAACTAGTGGACCTCCTGTGGCTAAAAAGAAAGACCTACAAAGGATAGAGGACTGGATCCACCTCCAAGGAGGAATATTCTTCAATGGTCCAGACCTGCAGGGAGAGAACAAGGAAAGCCAGGGCTGTGCCTGAACTTCAACTAGCTACAAGTATCAAGGATAATAAAATGTCCTTTTTTTAGATATGTGGGGAGCTGGAGGAAAAGCAAGGGCAACATCGGACCCCTGCTAAACCAGAAGGGACAACTGACGACTGACGCCCAAGAAAAAGCCAACCTACTTGTAACAGGTATCCGTTCTGGACTGACCTAAACGTGGCCTGCACACCTGTTCCTGGGGCAACAGCCCACCTACTCGCCTGCTATGCCTAGTTGTTAATTGATTAATTGGTGTTAATTAGCGGGAGGCTGCCCTTGTACTGCCCCGCTGCCAGGGGGCGCTATCTGCGGCTCTGTTTCCTCCCCTACACCACAGTCCACACCTCACCGATGGAATAGATGTTATGTCCCATCCTAGTTACAATCTGGCCCCTTTTTGTCCTCTCTGGGCCTACTCAGTCACGCCGCCCCCTCTCTGGGGCTCCCCAATAATGCCCCCTTTCCTGGGGCTTCCCGGCAACTGCCCCCTCCCTGGGGCTTCCTGGCAACTGCCCCCTCCCTGGGGCTCACCACGCCCGCACTAGGCTGGGCCCACACCTGCACTGGGGCTTCTCAGTAACTGCCCCCTTCTCTGGGGCTTCCACCCCTCTCAGGGCGCTCCTCAATACTGCCCCCCCCTTCTCTGGGGGCTCCTCAGTAGTGCTGCCCTCCTTCAGGGCTCACCGCAATGCTACCCCCCTTCTCTGGGGTGAACTGCAATGCTACCCCCTTCTCCGGGGCTCACCATGGCAGCACTGGGGCTTCTCAGCAATGCCCCCTTCTCTGGGGCTTCTCAACTGCCCCTCTCTGGGGCTGGGGTCTATGTACCCCAAATGCTGCGCCCTCACTGGTGCTCGGGTCCCCACACTAGTGTGAGTCCCCTATGAGGCCTCCTCCAACCCTTAATAGCCTCACCCAAACCACCGGTGATAAACAGCAACACAAAATGCAAGCCCATCGGCTAGAACTTAAATAGAAGCCGCCCGGCCATAACAATGCTCAAGCCTATCGGGAAATACTCCACCCCTTCCATGAGAGAGAACTCTTTCCTCCGTGGTTGCTGACAAGGAACTGCCTCTGGCCCCAGCCCCTAGGGTTTATAAGGGAGCCAGGCCCTGCCCCTTCTGGTCAGCTGACCTTCTCTGGTTGCCCTGGCAACCCACAGCTGGGCTCTTTATTCCCTGCTAGGGCTTCTTCCCTAGCAGTTTCCCCACTTTGGGAGCAGGGCACCTCAGTGCTCTGTGACACTACTAAATGGGTACTTTGCATCAGTCTTTCATCAATCCCACGGGACACCTCTGCCCATTATGGGAAAGGGAGGCCCAGGTGAGGGACATTCCTTGCCCTCCATCAATGCTCACCTCGTGAAAGAACATCTTGAGAGGCTGGACACCTTCAAGTCAGCTGGCCCTGATGATTTACACCCCAGGGTACTCAAGGAGCTGGCTAGCATCATAGCTCAGCCCCTGGCATGGATCTTCAAGAACTCCTGGCACTCTGGTGAAGTGCCTGAAGATTGGAAGAAGGCCAGTGTGGTGCCTATCTTCAAGAAAGGGAGGAAAGTGGATCCGGCAAACTACAGGCCCATCAGCCTGATCTTGGGAAGATCTTGGGAAGATCTTGGAAAAAATCATCAAAGAGGCCATTCTCAATGGACTGGCCGATGGCAACATCCTGAGGGATAGCCAGCATGGGTTTGTTGCGGGTAGGTCTTGCTTGACCAATCTTATTTCCTTTTATGACCAGGTGACCTATCACCTGGACAAGGGAGAGGAGATTGATGTTATATATCTTGACTTCAAAAAAGC